AATAAAGGGACCAGACCCTCACCCAGCCCCTGCTTTAGCAGACATGACAGGCTACAGAAAAGACCCGTAGGCCTCTGACACAAGGAAACTCCAGATCCTCTGGCCTCCCAGAGTCTAGGGCCAAAATTGAGCACAAAGAAACTCCAGACCCACCCACCCCCAGCCTTCTAGATACTTGGTTTCTGGGAACTGTTTGGTCACAAAAGAAACTCCAGGGACCAAGAACTCCTCTGTAGTCTCCAGGATATAGTTCTGAAAACTATTGGTGTCTGTGAACAACAGGCCACCTACAAGTAACAAGACAATGCCATAAAAACCACAGAATGTTCCCTCTCAGCACTGACCAATGAGAATTTAATTGCTACACAGGTATACCATGCCAAAATATGGCTTTGAGAAATTCTTCTAATTGTTCCCAAATGTCAACCGATCAGAAACCAACCCGTACCTACTGATGTAATCCTGCAACTTTTGTCTTTAAAACCTAGCAGTAGACAAGGAACTTCACTCCCTCTGGAGGCTGCTGCGACAGCCAGCCAGACGGGGTCCCTGTCATGGTTGGATGAACAATCAATAAACCTTGCTTTTGCAGTTTGGTAGGTCTGTCTTCCTAGTAGTCTCTGGGGATCTTTGCGACTTGGGCACAACAGGGATCATTCACATCATAGTTTATATTGATCATAAATAGAATTGCTTTCTTGATTTCTTGTTCACATATTTTCCTAATGGTACACAGAAATGGTAGTTTTTGTTTTTCCTGTACTAAGGACTGAACATGTCTTGTACATGGTAGACCATTGTTCTATCAATGAGGTATATCCCTAGCCCTTCTTATTTATTTTGAGACAAGATCTCATTATATTTCCCAGGCTATCCTGAACTCATTCTATAACCCAGGAGAGCCTTGAAACTATAGTTCTTCTGTGTCAGCTTTCTGAGATCACAGGCTTGCATTTGAATTTTATCCTGAAACTGTATTGAACTTACTAGCTCTAGTAGATTTTCATGAGAATTTTAGGACTTTCTTCCTGTAAGATCATGCTATCTACACACAGTGAAGGTTGGATTTCCCCCCTCCAGTTTGGACGCTCTTCATTCTGCCTGGCTTTCTCTGCCTAGGACTTCAGCATCATACTGTACACAGGAGGTGAAAGTGGACACCATTGCCCAGATCTTAAAGCTTTCAACTGTCTCCCATTCAGTGACATACTGGCTGTGGGCTTGTTGTATATGGACTTGATGTTGGAGTCATGTCCTTCTACACCTGATTTCTTGTTTTTATTCTGAAGGGATGTTATAAAATACCTTTTTCCAACTGGTGCGATGATCATATGGGTTTTATCTTTTAATCTGTTGATGTGCTGTATGATGTTTATTGATTTTTATATATTGAACTATCCTCCCTGGCAGGAACCTCATTTGATCACAGTAAACAATCATTTTAATGTGCTATTGGGTTTGGCTACTATCTTGTTGCATTTTGCATTTATGTTGCCTTACTGTACTATTGCTGTAAAGAGACCAAGTCAAGCTTGTTTTTTTAATCATTTTATTCTTTATTTACTTTAATATTTGTTTTATGTGCATTGGTGTGAAGGTATCAGACAGATCCCCTGGAACTGGAGTTACAGACAGTTGTGAGCTGCCATGTGGGTGCTGGGAACTGAACCCAGGTCCTTTGGAAGAACAACCAGTGCTCTTAACCACTGAGCCATCTCTCCAGCTCCCCTCAAGTCAAGTTTTTAAAGAAATCTTTTAATTGGAACACTGCTTACAGTTACAGAGAGTTAGTCCACGACCATCATGGCAGGGAGCATGGCAGCAGGCAGACAGGCATGGAGCATGGCCGAGGGCTCACATCAGACTCGAAAGTTAGAGGCAGAGAGAGAGATGAGACTTGTCTTGGGGGTGGGCTTTTGAAACCTCAAAGCCTACCCACCATGGGCACACCTTCTTCTAAAGGCCACAGATCCTTACAAAACAATCCAGCAACTGGGAAACGAACATTCAAACAAATATATGAGCCTAGCCAGGAGAGGTGGCGCACACCTTTAACCAGCTGTTCTTATTCAAACCGCCACCACATTCATTACAAACGGAAACCTTTTTCTTTTAAATGTGTGTAAATAAGTGTGTGTGTGATATTGTTGAAATGTGTGTGTGTCTTTGAGTGTGTGAATGTGTTTGGGTGAGTATGTAAGTGTATCTGTATCTTTATTTTGTTTTGGTATCAGGCTAATGCTGACCTGAAAAATGAAATTGTAAGAATTCCTTCTTGTTCAAATTTTCAGAATATTAAGATTTTATTTTATTTGAGACAGCACATCATATTAGAGATATCTCAGGCTGGCCTTGAGCTCACTATATAGCCAAGGCTGACCATGAATGAATTCCTGATCTTCCTTTCTCAGCCTGCCAAGCACAGAAACTTCACATTGCACATGGCAGCAGAGACTATCTGAGGAGACTGGAAGGTCTGAATATAAAGAATATGCCAATTCTTGGAAGAACTCCCCTTTGTATTTGAGTTATAAATGAAGCAATATTGTCAGAATTAATTATAAATGGACCTTTATATCATACACTATTGTTTTGTATCTTTAAAACATTTTTGAGACAGTGTCTATATAGCCCAGGCTGGCCTTGGACTAGCAATTCCTCTGTCTCTACCTGTCGCACCTGCTGTGCAGCCTGCATCCGAGAATGTAGCGAGGTGGTCGGGATAGATGACACAGAGACTGGTCGTTGCTTTTAGAAAACTTTTATGCTTTCCAAGTCAGTTTAGGAGGAGACCCCAAGTCTGCTTAGGAGGAGAACTCCCAAGGAAAAACGCTTCCCTTTTTAAGGACTTCTGCCATCCATCTACATACAATTCTCCAACAACTCTCCCAGACTTCTCACCCTCCTGGCTGGTGGTTTAATCTCCAGCCCCAGAATCGGGGAGAAACAGCAGGGGGGACAGGAAGAAGCATCTAGCAAGAAGCATCTAGCCGTAGGGGGTGTCAAAGTCATGGTGTTTCAGTGAGTGAGCCCTTATCTGAGCCCTATCAAGAGCTTTATAGCACTGAATTGTTTTCAGTAAACATTATCTCACAGCTGCCTGCTCCCAGGCCGAAGGGGAAGTGGGTCTCTGTTCAAGGTCTGGTGTCCCCACATCTACCTGCCGAGTGCTGGGATTATAGGTGCAAAACATGGCACATTCCATATAATGCAATATTCAAAAGGTCACTGGGCCATTTGAAGCATCCTAATTGAGCTTATCAATAAAAACCTGAAGTCAGATATTGGAGTAAAAGTTGAAAGATCAGAGAAGCAAAGGAACAGCCACAGTCACTTTTTACCTTTCTAGATCCTCAGACCAAAAGGACTGAGATCCTGTCTATGCTCCTCCTTATCACTTCCTAACTCCGCCCCATGTTGTCACTTCCTGTCTCCTCTCTGAACAGACCTCCAGATCTCTATTGTTAACTGGTGGCTAGTTCTGTCCTCTTATCTCCAGGCAAACTTTATTTGCCAGAACACAAACAAAATATCACAACACCATCCCCCCCCCGTTCTTTTTTTTTTAAGATTCATTTATTTATTACATATACAGCGTTCTGCCTACATACCAGAAGAGGGCACTAGATTGAATTGTAGATGGTCGTGAGCCACCATGTGGTTGCTGGGAATCGAACTCAGGATCTCTGGAAGAGCAGTCAGTTCTCTTAACCTCTGAGCCATCTCTGCAGCCCCTCCCCCCATTCTTTTTGTGACAACAGGTTCTAATGATGACTTGTATGTGCACACGTGGGTGTGTGTGCATGTGCGTGTATATTTGTGCAGATGTGTGTGTGTGTGCGTGCGTGTGTGTGTGTGTGTGTGTGTGTATTTGTGTATTTGTGAAGATTCACATTCCCCTGTGTGTGCACCAGTGAGACCAGAGGTTGAAGTTGGGTATCTTCCTCTCTCTCCCTCTCTCTATGCCTTACTGTTTGTTTATTTGAAACAGGGTCTGTGATATGAACAGGAACTCAGCCGACTCGGCCAGACTGCCTCCCCTGCCACCATAGCCCCCATACCACTGCTGTTCCAGACGCGTGCTGGGGATCCAAACCTCAGGTCCTCTGACCGTTTCCCCAGCCTCATGACTTGTAAGATTAGAAACCATATTAATGGGCCGGGCGTTGGTGGCGCACGCCTTTAATCCCAGCACTCGGGAGGCAGAGGCAGGCGGATTTCTGTGAGTTCGAGACCAGCCTGGACTACCAAGCGAATTCCAGGACAGCCTCCAAAGCCACAGAGAAACCCTGTCTCGAAAAAAACAAAAAGAAAAAAAAAAAAGAAAGAAACCATGTTAATGTATCAAAATTTTAGGGTCCTTGAAATCCAAACACTAAGTTTTTGAACAGTGTTTATGAGATTTGGTGCTATATGCCACAGACAAAATTAACATAGAAAAGAGAGTTGACTTCTAGGCAGAAGAGAGTCAGAGACTGGAGGATGGCAAGGAGTATAACCAAGGAAAAGCAGATGAGTAAACTCAAGAAGTCGGAAGTCTGTTAATGTGACTTCAGCAGTTAGCTACACGGTGCACTTCGAATCATAGTGATAACTTCCCCGTTAAGACAACTGGCTAAGCGGGGTGGTGGTGGTGGCGGCGGCGCACGCCTTTAATCCCAGCACGCGGGAGGCAGAGGCAGGCGGATCTCTGTGAGTTCGAAGCTGGGCTGGACCGATAGCCTCCAAAACAATACAGAGAAACTCTGTCTCGGAAAAACCAAAAAAAAAAAAAAAAAAAAAGACAACTGGCTATTTCTATTTCCTGTTCCCCTGAACATGGCTCTGTGTAGCTGTGACTTTACAAACTTGTAAATACTTGTGTCCCTTCCAAACCAGTGTTGTTCTGTCCTAAATCCTTCCAGCAAAATGGCTTTCCAAGTTGTAAGGGGTTCTAGAATCAGGGCATTCTTTTCATTCTAAGAGAGATCAAAAGTGCCATGAGCAGCAGACACCTCAGATTTCGTCTTGAGCAAACCTATTTAATGCAGAAGGACAGATGAGTGTTCCACCATGGTGCAATTAGCCAAGGTGTCACCACTAGGTGGAGAAGAAGCCACCGTCATTTTTTCGGGAGTAGCCTCCATTGGTGGCTGCAGTGTGAGGAGACACTGTGGAGAGAAGAGAATGGTGTGAGCTGGAGTTTCAGACCTTTCGCACCCATCCCGTCTCTTAATCCTCCAGTCCGCGCATTTACTGGTACCGTGAGAAGACTCTTGTCAACATGTGTTGCCCTAATGGAGGTTAACTAAGTTCCTCATTCCCAAATCCATGTCCTGTGCCTGCCTGCTCAAAATGTCACCTAGACCTACTCTAAAAAACTGAATTCCCTGCTTCTATTGTCATCATGACCCTTAGTATTAGTTTAGTACTAATTAACCAGTAATTCCCATCCTCTGTAGTCTCTGAGTTTCCTGCCAGTCAGTAACTCTGAGCCCCGGAGAAACACCACCCACCCCATGTGCCGCCTGTCTCCTAACCCTCACCTATGGATCCCTGGATGCTGTGGATGGATTCTTTCTTAGGGTTGATCCAGTGTCTGATGTTAGCCCGGGAAGTGATGGGGGCTGGAGGAGAGTGTAAACTTTCTCCAGGAAACTGGATCTTGCTTCTAGAAATGGCAGGAAGAGAATAGAGGAGAGTGCTGTCAACCAGAAAGAAACTGTGAGAGGGAAAGATCATTTTGTAAGATTTCAAGTCAAACCCTATTTACCTTCTAGAATTATCAAAGCATTTGCTTGTTTATTCTCATGAATTTAACTGGACAGGTGAACTATCTAAATGAGGATTTCTGCTCATTTTAGAGAATGAAATACAGAAATGAGGCCTAAGGATATAGCTTTGGCGATACAGTACTTGCATAGCATGCGTGATGGCCTAGGTTTGATCACTAGCACAAAAAACAAACTATTCTAAAGATTAAAAAACAGCCAACTATGCCAGGTGGTGGTGGTGGCACATGCCTTTAATCCCAGCACTTGAGAGGCAGAGACAGGCAGATCTTTGAGTTCAAGGCCAGCCATGAGTACACAGAGAAACCCCGTCTCAAAAAACAGACCAAATAAAGCAACTATGTACGTGTTCATATTGCCACGTGCCATTTTACCTTATGTCACTGATGGTAGTAGCATCCTTAGGGTGGAGAGTCTGCTTCCATCACTTACCCTCGGATATCCTGAACGGTCTCCTGGTGTAACAGTATCTCAGTTTTAGTTTTGAATGCCCCTGTGTGGTGGTCGTACAAGGCTGCTAAGCGGAAATCCAGGTCATCCTTTGGTATCTACAGAGGAATCAATCAGTCCTCCCACAGTTAACTTGACTGTTTTGTGCCTTGACCCTAGTCAGAGTGCATCTAGCTATTGTATTCAGATTGTATCCAAAAGAGCAGAAACCCAGCACCTAATACTGCATTGTGCCTGATGATGCCCTCATAACTTTTGTCCGTAGGAATGATTTACTATGGTTAGGCTAACAGTGTTAAACTCACTGGTGACGTGGAGAAATGGTCTTTGGGTTTGACAAATCTTATCTCATTTATTGTTAAATCTGGCCTTTGCTTTTTTTGTTCATTTTTGCTTTCATTTTTCAAAACAGGGTTTCTCTATGTAGCCCTGGCTGTCCTGGACCTTGCTCTGTAGGCCAGGCTGGTCTCTGCCTGACTCTGCCTTCCAAGTGCTGGGATTAAAGGCGGGCATGTGTGTCACTACTGCCTGACTCAGCCTTCGATTTACTACAGAAATTTGATCAAAATGTTTTGGAGCAAGCCTTGTGACTTAATATGTTGGCTTTGGGTCTGGTAAGATCTTGAGTTGGGAGCAAAAGGAAATATGCTGGGACACTCCAGACTGCCTTAGGAAAGGATATTACTGCCTGTTGTGTTGGCATATGCCCACGATGTCTGTACTCAGGAGACTGAGGCAGGAGGATTGAGAGAGACTTCTATGCCAGTCTGAGCTAAATACTAAGTTTGAGGTCAGCTTTAACTATGTACTAAGATTCTATCTGAAACTAATTAGTTAATTAAATTAAAATAGAATATATTTATTGAACCCTAAGTAAAAAAAAAAAGAAGTAGTATTTTAATGCTAAGCACCTTGGGATCAAAAAAGTAGACATCTCGCCTCATGGAGGTAACTGTAGGAGTTGAGCTGAGCCGATTCCAGGGTTCCTGCTGCTGAGCAAGGTGAGTTGGGTTCTTATACTGCAATTTCTGCAAGAAGAGAAACATGCAGGATTTGGTTACAGGAGGCCCCGCTGATGCAGCATGGCTCACGTTCATCACATTTTACTTGAATCTCAGAAGGACAGCTACAAAGAGATGAGTGATCACAGGGGCAGGACTCCCTGAGCCTTGGGAGTGAGAAGTGATTGAAAAGGGCCAGGAAAACAGAAGAAGCTGATGGATCAAGATGCAGGAAGTAGAGGAGGAGGCTCAGCAAACAGATCAGAAAGGAGGTATGTTCATGTTTAGAAGTCTGAGTTTGGAGAAAAGATGAAACTTCTAATTAACAGAAAACTGGAAGTGTATGGATTGCTGGAGAGCTGGAAACAAATAAGATAGATCAATTTGTCCACATGCTGGTAGTTGAATTCTGTGGAAAAAGCCTGGTCTAAGGGTCTACTAGGACAGTATTTTTACTGAGGCGGGGGGATCCCAAAAGAGGCAATGGGGGACAAAGTGTGGTGTTGAGGTTGAAAAAAAAAAGATTATCCAAGAAAGGATGAGTCACCCAGCAGTGGTGGCGCACGCTTTTAATCCCAACACATGGGAGGAAGAGGCAGGCAGATCTCTGTGAGTTCAAGGCCAGCCTCAAAAAACAAAACAAAAATGGGTAAGTCATGGGAAGCAATGTCAGACAAAGTTCAAGTTCTATAAACACTACAGACATAAGAGAAAAACCCAAAGTTGGCTTTCTTTGTATATGAAATTGGCCATTTTCATCTCTGTATCCTCAGTACCAAGCATGCTGATCTAACATAAATAAAAACCATTCTGTGATCAAACCAATGACTGACTCTAGTAAGTACTCTCCCTCCATGTAGCAAAGTACTGTGTGACTCAACTCAGTGAAATCTTAGTTGGACAGTAGGTTCAGGCAAATATGTAAACACATGCAAATGCAGACTCAGCTACCCCTGCTGTGGCTCTGCCACTTTCTTCAATGGCCATATACGGCTTGCCATCTCCTCTATTGGCATGGCCAGATTGCCTTTCACTAAGGTCAGGTGGTAGAGACAGGTAGACCTTTGTGAGTTCGAGGTCAGCATGGTCTACAGTATGAGTTCCAGGACAGCTAGGGCTACACAGAGGAACCTTGTCTTGAAAAAAAAAACCAACAACAGAAAACAAATAAAAGAAAACCAACTGTCAGTCACCAGGGCCAGCCGGCACACCTCCTTCCTTTGGTAACAGGAAGAAGTCCTTTACTCAGGAGGAGGCTTCTCTGACCTAACCCTTCCCTGGTCTTTGGATCTGTACCATTTCCCACACACCCATCTGGCCCCAACATCTCAACTATCCTTTTATCAAGATGTCCATCACATTGTCACATTCTCCACAGAACTACACTTCTTCAAGGGTCAACAATTACATTCTCTTCTTCACCCTTCATGTCTCCAACCCTATGTAGTATGGCCTCTCTTCCAGTGCCCACTGAAACTGTCCTGGCTGTGGAGCTGTGATCTCTGTGGCTACTAGAAAGATCTCTCCCAACCTTGACCTTTTTTTCCTGAAATTTCTGACACTGTAACTCTGAATCCCCACAAATACTTCTCCATCTTAGGAGGCCAACTCCTGGTTTAAATTTGGTCACTGGCTAGTACAGCTTATTTCTCAGCTTAGCCTTCTGCTTCTGGGAGTGCTCCTTCTTGTGTTATTCTTATATTTACAGGACAGGCTCCTTTTCCACCACAGCTTCAAACAGCACGCCAGCCCTGTAGCTCCCAGACACACATCTTCAACTTGAACCTCTCAAGCCTGCCTATCACAAAATCTTTTAAAGATGTCACAGGCACCATAGAAACATCCACATGATTGATGTCAACACCTTTTTGCCCAAACCTGCTTCCTTGGGATACTCCATCTCAGTGATGGTATCAATTAAGCCCTCTGAATCCAGGAGTCTATTTTATGTTTATCTATCTTCTTTGGCCCATATAGAGTTATCCAATCCCCCTGTCCTGCCTTTTCATCCTTCTCAAACATGCCATGTCACTGATGCTGGTTCCTCTTCTTCAGGATCGCTGCACCTGTTTCCAAGCTGAGGCACCCCCCTCTCACTCCCATCAGATCCAGTCCAATTCAAGTGTGATTTCTTTCTTTCTTTTATTTTTAATTTTTTTAGTGGAGAGCACAAATGCAGTGCCCCCACTACCACAAATTATGCAGTCAAGTTTCCTGAATTTGGGGAAACCCCAAGGGTCATCACATCCGGAGTGCAATGGATAAGCCTCACCTGGGAAAACGACCATTGTGATCATGGTATCTCCTCTGCCAGATAAGCACTTATTTAAGGGCCAGAGAGCCTGCATTCATTGATTACTAGTTCTGTGACAGGTGTACATGAAAGCAGTCAGACTCTGTATATTAATCAATTTAATCTTTTATTATCAGCACAAACTAATCATATGAAACAGGCTTCATCATGGTATTTTATACCTGCATAAAACTCTGACCATATTTACCCCCCATTATCCTCTATTGTTCCTTTTATAAACAGTCCCCTTTCTATTTTCATGCTCCTTTTCCTCCTTGTTGTGTTAGGGATCAAACTCATGCTGGACAAGTGTTCTAACAAGCAGCTACTCCAGTCTTTAATTTGGGGGGGGAGGGGGGTTGGGGTTGAGACAGGGTTTCTCTGTATTGTTTTGGAGCTTGTCCTGGAACTCATTCTGTAGACCAGGCTGGTCTGGAACTCACAGAGATCCGCCTGTCTCTGCCTCTTGAGTGCTGGGATTAAAGGCGTGCGCCACCAACGCCCGGCTTCCAGTCTTTAATTTAAAGCTAGAATATGCATACCCCACATCTGCCTTCCTTAATCTGCCTTGTCTCCCTTATTATGTTGCATCAATCTCCCTGAAAATGTAACTATTCTTTATGACTGGATGATACTTGGTTGTCTATGTCTAGCACAATTTATCCATTCATGTGGCCAGGTACCTAGGCTGGTTCTTTAACTTGGGTATTGTGAATATCAGTGCCATAGTAAATGTGTGTAGACAACTTTCTGCTGGCTCAATTCCTTTGGGTATCTGGGAGTGCCACAGCAAGCTGTCTTGGGACTCTAATTTCCCTTTCACAATGGCTACACTCTAGTCACATAATTGTCAAGGAATAACCAAAGTACATTTTTATCAACGGCTCTTATTTACAACTTATGGAGCTGAGCACATGGCACTCTTAAGACCAGTCCTATAAATGTTAGTGGCATCCCCCATCTGTCAAGTTTATCCACATAGGCCACCAGTTCTGTTTTTTAGGCCAGTGTCTCATATAATCTAGGCTGGTCTTGAGCTTCCTGTGTAGTTGAGGCTGTAGGTCCTCCATTTTGCTGATACTCATTGAACACACATTTACTGAAAGACATGCACAAATCTGTGTGTGAGTTCTTTTTTTTTTGTTTTTTTTCTTCTCTGTGGCTTTGGAGGCTGTCCTGGAACTCACTTGGTAGTCCAGGCTGGTCTCGAACTCACAGAGATCCGCCTGCCTCTGCCTCCCGAGTGCTGGGATTAAAGGCGTGCGCCACCAACGCCCGGCCTGTGTGTGATTTCTAACACCCTCTGATCATAACACTCCAGTGCTTGAAATCCCATGATTCCCAGCACCTCCAGGCTGATTCCTAACCCGCTAAAGCAAGGCTCACAACACTGCCGCCAAGGTCTGGTTCCTAGCACCCATTGCTCCGACATTTAGCTCTTCTGGATTTGCGGTTCCCCAGGCCATTTTGTCTCTCCTTCCCATGCATGTGTACCAATGCTTCCTTTCCCTAAGTATCTGATTTTCTCTTTCCTTCTACACACACACACACACACACACACACACACACACACACCCCTCCCTTTCATGTCTACCAGCTAACTCATCTAAATGCCACCCTCCTTCTCTGAGAAGCCCTCCTTCAAGTTCCTATTCTCAGGGCATTCTACCTTGGACTTCTTTACAACGTATGTGCCACTGTGGGAAGCACATTTTCGTGTTTGTCATGTGTGTGGATTTGCTTGTTCAGAAACAGGTTCTTGTAGTTTAGGCGGGTTTAGAATCCCTGCTTCTCCTGCCTTCGCCTTCCAAGTGCTGAGATTACAGGTATATGCTTTGCCTGAACATTTTCTCTGACCCTAATGCTGGCTTGTCTTCCCTACTAAGCTAACTGGACAGTAACTATATCTAATTTTAGACTACATGTCCCAGTGTTTAGCAGTGTGCCTGCCACATAAATAACTAATATTGAATAAAAGGAAGCTCTTTCATATTGCTATCAAGATCATATTACCACTTAATTCACCTTATTGTGCACCTATTCAAATATCCCAAATACTTCTACTAGGATAAACATGGTTTGTATTTCCAGAGCACTGAACACAACTAAATTAAACACACACATATACAGATGTGTTCTTGCATTAACCAGAGGTATTGTGAAGACTTGCTTGAAGTCTTTTCTAGTCCACATCTCATCTGTCTTTGGAGTACAGATTTCAAAACAAGAAAAAAAAAGATAGCTTGGTGGAACCCAGCTTCCCCATCACTTATATTAGTCATTGCTTTGATGGGCCTTATTCTACAAGAGCGTTCTCTTCCCTCTGCTCAAAACCACTTCTGAAACGTTAGTGGACCCGAATAGCAGGCCAAGGAGACATACAGAAAACAGATTTCTCTGGCACTCGGTGATCTCACCAGAGTTAGGTTACCAGGAGTTTGCTGGAGACCCCACTGGGAATTTGCGGAGGTAACCGCAGTACCTTAGAAGCCCGCAGATTTCCCACGTGTGTGTCTTCGTCACTTAACGTAGGGAGCGAGTAAGATTCCTGAGTGTGAGGCATGCTTAAAGGCCCAAAGGCGCAGGCTTAATCCCAGGAGATTAGCGCAGTCGCAGCACGTCCTAGCTTCTAGAGGATCCTAGGTCCCAATTGTTTGGAACGCCCAGTTTTTGGTTGCCAGGCAACTACCCCTGCATTTATGACAGAGATGAATTCCCTTCGAGAGATGCGCCACCTGGCGGTTCAACTCAGAAGGTTCCTTGGGAGGAGGTTGTGAATACCGAGGAAAGGAGACCTAGATGTGCACTCTGGAGCCTCAGCTGGAAAACGCTGGCCTCCCACAGCACGGGAGTTCTGCAAAAGCTGAAGAAAGAAGTCCGTTAGGATGACCCACAGGTTTCCTTCTCCCCCTCACCTAAAAGAAAGCTTCCCCATTTTCAAAGCAATGAGAGTACGAAAATGTAAAAAAACAAACAAACAAACAAACAAACAAACAAAAAAAAAAAACAAAAAACGAAGATCTCACGTGTCCTGATTGGAAAATTGTCGGCTAGGTCACCCTCCTTGCTGTTTAACTATGCAGACGTCAGGGTTACTTATCAACCCGGCTGTTAAAACATGGATGGATTTGGTGGGGTGGAAGGATGGAAGTAGCTTTTGCAATTAGTGCTGGGGCCACTCTAGGAGACGATCCCTGGAAGGTAGCGATGACGTCTGTCTTCCCTTTATCATTTCACACGCCACGTTTACAAAATAAGAGATGTTTAAAAATAACCCCTGGCAGGAGAGAGCAATAGGGGCGAAATGTACTGCTGCGGATGATTTGGAGGGTTCTTCTGCCGCGTGCTTTACGTAAGCTTGTTGGGTTAGTTGCAAACCCTGGCGCGCGCACTCCTACGCCGCGCGCCAGCGGTGGCGGCTGCCATGGAGACCGGCAGGTGAGCGGCAGAGGCGCGCGTGGTCCCTGCCCCACCCGCGCTGAGCGAAGAGGATGCGGTTGTCAAGGCGACGTGGATAGGAGGAGGAGAGGACCGAGGGAGGAGGAAGGATGGGCGGCCTTGGCGTAGCCGCAGGGAGGTGACTGAAGCGAGTCCAGCCCCTTGCATCCTCCCCCTGTGTACCTCCCTCCTCTTTTTTTCCCTCCTTCTGCCAGCATAAGCAGCCACCGCAGCACCTGAGCCGCTACTGCCGCTGGCTCAGGACAGCGCTATGGCTGAGCCTGGTCTCAACCCCCATCCCTCCTCCAGAGGCGGAGGAAGAACTGAAAGGCGCACATCCCCGCTTATGTGGCTGTTGCTTTGGGCTGGGACCACCTTCCAGGTGACCCTGGGAACCGGACCCGAGCTTCACGCCTGCAAAGAGGTACTGTCCACTTCACCCCTTTGACCTGATCTCACTTTGGTCAGAAAAAAAAAAAATGCTTAGAGCCAGATGAAGACCTTGGGGATCCAGGTATAGTTTCTGGGACCACAGAGTTCAAATTTCTCTAGGGATGAGGAGTAGGGGTTGGGGGGTTGGGGGAACAGGCTGGCGTTGTCATGGGGGAGACCAGCCCTTTGGAGGACTCCTAAAATAGATCACCCTCACAAGCTCTCGGCTCTGGCTCAGCGAGTAAGGTCCGAAGGAGTGACAGTCCCCAGAAAGAAAGAGAAAGAAGACAGGAGTTGCTTTCCATATGGGGTGAAATTTCCTAAAAAGTGATCGAAAACACCGAGTCCAAAAAGATAAGAGTAAAGTGGGGGACAGGTAGGACACTGGAGTCAGGGGCCTTGGGGTTTGAGGGTGGGAGGCTAGCTCGGTAACATGCCCCCGGTGTTAACACCCAGTCGCCTTCCGGCTCCTACCAGTGGTTCTTGCTGGAACGAGCACCTTACCTGTTCCCTTGCGCGTTTTGTTCAGGGGTGAGCATGTCCCACCTTTTCTTGATTTTGAATTCTTGAACGTGTTTTCTACCACCCTCTCTTCTGAACTTCTGCTGACATATGCCATAAGTCTTTCTCAAGGTGTCTCTAAAACGTTAGCAGCATAATTCAGACAGTAGGTAGTGAATGTCTTCTAATAAAAAATGCTTTTTGAAAAATTTTTGGGGTGTACATGACATTAGGAATAGCAAAATTAGTGTCTGTATTTGTGAAATAATATTTGCTTTGTGCTCCAAGTAACTTAAAAACCATATGGTAGAGGCAACAATAAAATATTTACAAGAACTATACGGGGGAAGGCAGAATAAAATTTATCTATGCAAAATGTGAGAGATCTGAAAATATGTCAAAAGACTAACATTGTAGGAGGAATGCTAAATGCTAAATCCAGCTAAAGTTTTGAAGGGTTAAAATAGTCCTGTTAAGACACCAATGTTAACAGTGCAAGTTCAGTTCCATGAGAAGTATTATTATGTAGAGATCCTAAGTACTAGTCTGTCTACAACATAACAAACCATGAAAGAAGCAGGGGGGATTTCTACACAAATGAAGTCTGACTTAAAGGATTCATTAATATTTAAAGTGATCATCAGGGATGGAGAGATGACTCAGTGGTTAAGAGATCTTGCTGCTTTTGTAGAGGATTTGGGTTCAGTTCCCAGCACCCATATGACCATCTGTAATTCCAATTCCAGGAGATCTAACACCCTCTCTTAGTCTCTGAGGGCACTGTGTGCAGGTGGTACACATACATGCATTCGGGCAAGCACTCACACACATCAAATAAAAACATTTTTAATGAAGAGACTCCATGGCTGGGATGTAGCTACAAGGATTATTTTAACCTCTCAAAACCTTAGCTGGGGTATGTAGTACTCCTCTGAGAGTGCTAGACTTTTGACATGTTTTCAAATCGCTCACGTTTTGCATAGTTTATAGAGTGCTTGCCTAGCATGCACGAAGCCCTAGGTGTGATTCCCCAATACTGAATAAACAAGGCGTGGAAACGTGTGTCTGTATTCTTAGCTCTTGAGAGGTAGGGGCAATAGGATCAGAAATTCAAGTTCATCCTCAGCTACATAGTGAGAGACAGGCTCCACAGTTCCACAGAGTCATCCTCTGACCTTTATTTGGGATGTGTATAATCATATTAATATGCTTACCATAAACACACGTACATATACTGGGAAAAAACAGCAAAAACTGGAAAATGACTCCAGTCAATGGGCTTTCTAAAAAACTTTTACTAGTCCCAATTATACCCTGGCCACCTACATTTTTAACAAGTCACTTCGTAACGTGTCTTAAAGATGACCAGGAGCATGATGATCTTCCCGGTGACATTGGTTCACTGGCCTTGGTGGCCTGTGGTCGAATTCCCTTGCCTAAGAATTAAACACCTTCCTTTCCTTTGTGGAAGATAAGAAGTTCCCCATTCAACTGCCGATTGTCACTAGACCTTTGTCCACTATGGACCATATGAGACACTGAGAAGGCCTTGAACACTTACTCTGTCTTGGTTGAGAGGGAGGGAAGAAGATTAACTTGTGAGCTCTACTTTGTATGCAGATTTTGTCTTTAGACCTGTTTAAACAATCAATATTTGCTTAAGGTTGAGTGAGCTGAGGGCAGTGGAAAGGGCCTCAACACCACAGCTTTGGGAGTCGTGGAATGGACATTCTGATAAAGCCAACCTCAGAGAAGACTGTCTCGAAGAAAAAGTACACCTCTAGTGCAAAATGGAATTACTGCATCCCTCTTCTTGGCTCAGATTCTTTAATTAGATCCATACCTCTTACCTGGTTGAAATGGTTTTGGAGGCAAGCACATTGACCATGGGCATCAGCAAGCTCTGTCAACACTCTCCTTGAGCAAACAGCCTCCTTGACTCCAAAATAATGAGGAAAAGAATGAGTCCATTATTGTGGTGTCCTTCATTAGGCAACATGAACTGATCCAACTAGTTTGGGATTCCCAGCCCTAAAAAGTGAGAATCTAGTTTAAGGGAGATTTCTCACTCTTAGGTCTTGATTCTCAAATGAATTTCTTAAGAGCCTATGTTGGTTATGCCTATGCCAGGACCTCTTATCAAGCCAAGCCTGATCCTAGTGACAGTAATGTTGTCCCAAGTTATCTATAAAAGCTGCCGGATTGAAGCAGGAAGCAAGGGGACTTGGCTTGAGGTTTTATTGAGGTGGCCGAGCACTGGGAGTGGAAACTGCTGGACATGTGCCAAGGTTTGGCACTCCTGCCACAGTTTTACAACATTCGGGGTCATCAGTGGAACTAAACATCCTGGATGATGTTTGTGCGCATGAATCACTTCCTTAGCCCCGCACTGGCCCAGGCTAAGTGCTGACTGGGAGCCACGCATGTTTTTCTTCATAGTGCAACAAATCTAAATCAAAGGAGAGGAGCAGAAAACTGCCTTTGACATGGTCTGCGTAGTCCCGAGGCTGCTGTGCTAATTGCCCCCAGAGGGACTTCCCAATCCATACTGACAGGCCCAGGGGGTCCTAGGATTCTGGCAGACACGAATTGAAATAAAATTTGTTGAGTGAGTGAAGACTGTGCCAGTTAGTAAGGAATCAAGATCATTAACTTCTGATAGCCTCAGCTTCCTTCCTATTAAATGGAGGGGGGTCATATGCATCTCACATATGTGAGGACCGAATCAAATTAGACAGCACATGTCAAATACCTAGTACACACTCCCAGGATACCATAGGTCCTTAAGAAACACTGGGAGGCAAGCAGGTCATGTACACAAATAATAACATATGAACATTGGCCTAAGGTTAATGTATGGTCAGCAGGAGTGGTGAGACAGAGGCAAGTGGGAAAGAAAGGAAAAACAAAAATAAACGAACAAAGATATGAGAACCATTGGTACTTGGCTGGCCTCTAGAGTAATCAGTTGCACTCACTGGGCATACAGGGAGGCAGGGTGCTTTCTAGGTACAGGAACCCAAGGAAAGTTGAAGAGATGGAAAAAAAGGAAAAAAGAGTCTGAGAATTGCAAGTGCACCAGTTGGCTTAAACATGAAGTGATGTGAGGATAGTAGGATTTTTGGTCAGAATGTTAGAAACCAAGTAGAGAATGCATGAAGAATTTCTGGCCAGGATAAGTGCATGTTCAGGGTGTATAAGATGGATACGGTTGAGGGTTAGGGCTTTCGGTTGCTAGAGTGTTTGCCTGGCTTTCAAAAAGCCCTGGGTTCAACCCCCCCCCAACGTTATATAAACCAGGCATAGTGGCTCGTACGCTGCTGTAATTCATTTTTTAAAAGATGTGTGCTCTTGTGTTTCTCTGTGTGGGTACGTGCATACAAGTGCAGATTTCCATAGAGCCGAGGTGTGTCAGATCCCCCTGGAGCTGGAGTTACAGGGCATTCTTGTGAGCTGAATTTGGGTCCTCTGCAAGAGCAGTAGGTGTCCTTAACTGATGAGTCATTTCTCTAGTGCCACCCGCTCCTGTCAGTCCTAACACTCTGCAGAGAGGGGAGGAATTCAGGTTCATCCTGGGCTACACAAAAAATTCAAGACCTGGGCTAGGTGAGACCTTGCTTAGAAAACGAAAGGAAAGCCAGAGGGGGGAGGGGGAGGGGGAGGAAGAGGAGGAGGAAGGAAGAAGGAAGGAGAAGAAGGAAGAAGAGGAAGAAGGAGAAATGAAAAGAATGTGGTTGACTTGCACAAAAGCTCAGCGCAGGAGGCTAAGTGAGGAAGTCAGTTCAGGTTTTACCTGAGTTATCAAAGGGACGCTGTTGGTTAGCATCTGTGTGATAAGTAGAAAGAAAGAAAGGCCTAACGAGGACAGACAGGCTGAAGGGAGAAGCTGGAGGATGTAATGATCAAAGGTTAGGCTACTGTTGAGGGGCAAGTTCGATTTTATTT